AAAAAATTAACTTATATTGAAACACTACCATAACCAATACTACCAGAAGTAATATTAGTTGTATAAAACTAATATTACTCCTGCTAGTATTAGTTATGGTACTGTTTTATTATTAGTAAGCTTCCTAATCCTATTTGTAGTAGATGTTGTATGTTAGTTAGTTTCCATTCTCTATTCCTAGTTGTGTTAGAAATCTCTCCTATATATACTCTATCATGTATTTCATAATTAAAAGAGCAATATTATTATTCCAATATTTCAACATGGTATCAGAGCCACCGCTCTTGGTGACATAAAAAAAGTTTTTTGCTCCCACCGCCGCCGCCGGTAATTCCGGTGACGGCGGCTCCACCCTATTCACCTCTATTTTCTTTTTCTTCTCTATCCTCAAATCAACTTCTCCATTCAAATGAAAAAAAAGAAAAAAGACACATGTTGAAATCACACAAAAAAAACTATCAAAGGAGGAACTTCTCTCTTGTTATCTCCATGGTTCTTCAAAAAAAACTCAACTCCTCACAAACTCTCTCAGATCATCCTATCTTCTCAAAAAAAAAATTGTTGTTTCTCTCCAATTCACCATATCAAAATCTCAGACCCAAATTTTTTTTTCCATCTCCAATTCTTAACCTACTTTTTCTCTCTAAAATCACTCATTCTAATCATCAACCTCCATTCTCTTTCTCTTCTGTTGAACCAATAAAAATCCAAAGTAAATCAGCACAAAAGCAAAGCCAAGAGGGAAAGTAGTGAAAGAGGAAATAAGATCTCTACAACTCACCCCTCCAAAAAAGAAATAGGGCATTGCCCGGATCCAAGAAAAAGATGTCAAGGATCTTCAGTCAAACAGGCAACTCCAGTAGCCTTCTCTATTTTTTTTCGACGTCAGCAGCTACAAGCGCACACCAACCTTCTCTCTTCTTCATCGACGTCAGCAACTACTAGCGCACGTCAATTTCTCTCTTCTCCAACGTCGTTAGGAGCTACCAGTGCACGTCAAACTTCTCTCTTCTCCAACGACGTGAGCAGCCACCGGCGCATGTCAAACTTCTCTCTTCTCAAAGTTTCCAGTTTCCAGCTAGTGTCCAAGCTTTCTCTTGCTTCAGCCAGAGTTCAGCTTGAGGGGGGATGTTAGACAATAAAACTAATATTACTCCTGGTAGTATTAGTTATGGTATTGTTTCATTATTAGTCAGCTTCCTAATCCTATTTGTAGTAGATGTTGTATGTTAGTTAGTTTCCATTCTCTATTCCTAGTTGTGTTAGGAATCTCTCCTATATATACTCTATCATGTATTTCATAATTAAAAGAGCAATATTATTATTTCAATATTCCAACAGTTTTCTTAAATAAAAAAGTAAAAACCTTTTTTTAATAAGGAAGAAAATAAGAAATAAATTAAGACAAAAATAAAAATGAATATCCTTTTTGCAAATCCCAATTCTAAAGATTTTTTTAGGATTTATGATTTTTTTGTATAAGACTCTTTTTTTCATGTTCCATTTTTTTCATATCATTTTTCCATATTTTTTATTTATATTTTTTGTTCTAGATTTTCTGTTTTAAGTTACCAAAAAACTTATCCTAAAAACTAAAATTTAAAATGTTTAATTTGAGATAGATGGAATATATGTTAATTTTTTAATTTTTATTTTTGTGTCAAACTCAAAGAAACTTGATTTTTTTAAAACACTATACTAAATTGAAAAGAAATTTTAAAAAAATTTTCTTGGAAAAGAAAACAAAAAGATAAAGAAAGTTAAAAAAAGAGAAAAAAACAAATGGTAAACGAAACAAAATAAATGAACACGAGTGCCCCTTATGGTTTAAAAATTAGATTTCAATTTCCTCTCATCGCTGAAAATAGACCAAAAAATGGTCACAGGAGTATAAATGTAACGTTTTGAAACAACGAAAACTCTAGAAATAAATTTTGAAGATAGAGGAAGTATTGTTGCAAATTTTCTAAATGACAAATGGCGCTGAAGTAATTTCACATAAAAAATACCTAAAATTTACTTTTTTGTGAATAATAAATACTTCCTTCGTCCCAATTTATTTGCAACATTTCGAACGACGTGTAAAATATAATCTCTTTTAAAATTACTTTAATTTCAAATTGGTAGAGTAATAAAAAGTAAAAATTACACCATTTAAAAGTATATGAAAAGCTCTACAAAACAAGATGCGACAAGAATATTTTATTCTATCAAATGGTCAACCAAAACGAGTAAACAAACAAAAGTTATCTAGAGGCCAGAATAGTAAACGTGACATTTTTTGTGGGACGAAGGAAGTATACGATTTGATGCTCGAGAGTACAATCATTTCAAGTTTGATTTGATTGTTCGTACAAGGTATCATTTTAGTCGGAAAATACAACGAGTAACGGAACACGAAACCGCAAATTTCTGTTTTAGCCTTTTAGGTGACAGCTCCCGGCGAGTGTTGACCAATCGAGACAAGTAGTGCCACGTAGGCACCCTCTTCTTTAAATATGCTCCCGACCTTTGACTTATCCAGTCCAATTCTCTAGAGTTTACTTGCAGACAACATAAACAAAAAGAAAGAAAAGAAGTCTCGGCAATGCAGAATCTAACGGCGAGGCGACTCGATCAGGGAATCTCCGGCGAACAAAATCAGCACGCGCCGCCACCGCTCACCTTCGAGCAGGAGTGCGCCGTCGTGGTCTCTGCCTTGAAGAATGTCATCATCAACGGAAATTACAGCATTTGCTCGTCTTCATTATTATCTCCTCCGGCGTTCTCCGCCGCCGGAGAAACAGAGACCCCTCTGCCGGCAGGGGAACCGCTGCTGAGCATACCGGAAGGTTACACGTGTGGGGTTTGTATGATATCCGGCTGCTTGGGCTGCAACTTCTTCGGAGAGCCAAGTGACAGTTCCCCGAAGAAAAAGAAGACGGAGAAGAAGAAGAAGAAGAAGAGTTTCAGGGGAGTGAGACAGAGGCCGCAGGGGAAGTGGGTGGTGGAGATATGGGACCCGCGAAGGTTGGGTAAAGTGTGGCTCGGAACATTCAAGACCGCAGAGGAGGCTGCTCGAGCTTACGATCGAGCAGCCATCGAGTTCCGGGTCCCACAGATCAAGCTCAACTATGCGTTCACGGATTATATGACGACAAGCTCCCATCCAGTCCAGCCGGCGCAGTCATTGCATGAAGAAAACAATAACAATGTTGGGAAGATGGAGGTGGGGAAGAGTGCAAATGAAGAAGATGAAGTGTTTGAGTTGGGGGATGAAGAAATGGAAGAATGCTTGAGGACAATGGCTCTTCTTAGCTAGTAGCTAGTCCTTAATTACAAATAAATTACTCCATACGTATGTGATGGATTTTTGCTATTTCGGGGCACCTACCCGATGAACTCGGCATCGTATTCATATAAAATTTGAGAATTAAATTATGAATCAAATAAAGAAAATATTTTTAAGTAGAATTGGCCCACCAAATCAGGGGAAAAAAATAATCGGACTTTTAGGCAATACCTTTTAGGTTAGGTATTGTTAGCCATGTGTCATGGCAAAACTCGAGAAAACTTGATTGATTACAATTGACAAAGAGGTATGATGTGAAATGTAAGATATGAAATGATAAATTTATGCTCTCTAAATAGGACCAATCCTCTTTATTCTAACGTTTGGCAATAGAGTATTCTAAAATACTCGCCTTTGAAAAAAATAAGATACTACACAACTCAAGTAGAATAAGATATACTCAACTAGATTACAATTTTTTTTCTCTCCTCTCGATAATTTTTATTTGTTTACGCGATTTCATTAGGTATTTGATAAAATAAAATATTTTTGTCACCTCTTGTTTTGTAGAACTTTTGACGAAGTTTTTTATTATATAATTTTTATTTCTTAGCGATATGCCGATTTGTAAATAAAATAATTTTAAAAAGTGAGATATTTTTCTCCATAAACCGCAATTTGTAATCAAATTGGAGACGGATGGAGTAAATAATTTAAATAATCATTGAAATAATCATTCATTATTCAACACTTGTTGCTAACAATCACATTTGTAGAGTCCTTCATTATGCACGACTTTTTAATTTGCTAATGAGGCATATGTGGCATATCATACGAAAATATATTTCATAATATGAATAAAACATACTTGGTCCTATTGAAGAAAAATGTAATACGGAGTAAGAAATTTTTTTTATAAAAAATATATGTGTGGTATGATAGGTGTGAAGGATACGAATGAAGTGCAAAAGTCTAAAAAGCCTTCATGCGGCCTTCCATGTCGCAATGCAGTGATGGAAGTCACCCCCATGGGGTCACGCTCTCGTTACAGGAAAGTTAGCACGACATTTGGGGTGTCGGCCTGCAATCGTGCTTCATAAAATATTAATGTCACACAGATTATTGAAAAGTAAAAATACGGGCATACAAACTACTCTTAAAAATAAAATAATATTTTTATAAATTTATTTAAATTTATAGAATATCTGCCCGAAAATTACGATAAATTGATAATTAAAACTAAAAAGAGAATGGGTACAATTGTTCAAATGAAGTGGAGGGAGAATATGGACCTAAGTGCATCCCCAATAGTAATCTGAACATAGTCTAACCGAGAGTTAGAAGATTCCCTTATCCAGACAAAAGTGAGGAAAATATGAAATTGAGTCTTTGAATTCTCATACTCACTCCCAAGTCACGCAATAAATAAATATTTATAATTACTTTTGAAAATTAAGGATCGTTTGCTGAAATGTGATAACATATTTTTTTCCAAATATAGTTTTTGAAGGATCAATTATGGAATAAATTTCAAAAACTGGGCATCATTTATATAATATCTTAGAATTCTGAACTAAATATGAAAAACCACATGTAAATATGAATCATTTACCTTATTAAAAAGGCACGTCACAAGTTCTAGAAATCAAGAAATGAGATGAATACTTTCTTTTATCGAATAACGAATGAAACTATATAAATAAAAAAAATTATTGAAAAAAAACTGTAAGATATTCGGTATGTATTACGGGAGGGAGAGACTAATGGGCTTATTTGAGCCCGAAAGAATTATATGGCCCAAACTTTGGGTAGGTCTCTGAACATTTCATCACCCACTTCGTACCCAAAACCCTAACCCCATAAATTGTTCCATAGGAGCCATTTTCGCCCTAGAAATTCCGACTTTCAGAATCCGCCCGCAGCCAAGGTGAACAGGTAAACATGGCGACGACGGCGGTAGATTCCGTCCAATGCTTCGGGCGTAAGAAGACGGCGGTTGCCGTCACCCACTGCAAGCGCGGCCGCGGACTCATCAAGATCAACGGCGTCCCGATCGAGCTGATCCAGCCGGAGATCCTCCGCTTCAAGGCCTGCGAGCCGATCCTCCTCTTGGGCCGCCATAGATTTGCCGGCGTGGACATGCGCATCCGCGTCAAGGGAGGCGGTCACACCTCTCAGATCTACGCCATCCGTCAATCCATCGCCAAGGCCCTCGTAGCCTACCACCAGAAGTACGTGGATGAGCAATCGAAGAAGGAGATCAAGGACATCCTTGTTCGCTATGACCGGACCTTGCTCGTCGCCGATCCAAGGCGCTGCGAGCCGAAGAAGTTCGGCGGTCGTGGCGCTCGCGCCAGGTTCCAGAAATCGTACCGTTAATTTCCGATCTGGATTCACTTCTCCTCAAACCCTATATGGCTGTGTCATCTCTTTCAGTAAGCCGTCTGTTAAAGTTTTGATTTCTCTGTTCTAAAAAACTTGGTATGTTTTACTACTCAGTTTTCAGTACACTCTCCTTGCTTATTATCGTGCTGGTAATTGACAATTGTTGAACCGTTTTTTGGTATTAGAAACTTTTCATGTGCTTTAATTTTGTGTTCGTTCTCAAAATTGTGATACATTTGCTTTGTACCTATCTGGTGTCTTCATTAGCTTCTTCCATTACCAACTGTGTGCTTCCTACAATGGTAGGAAAATGGAAGAGTTTTCCAACCAAACCTACCCTATGTCAAAGAGCATTTGGTGTTTAATTGATGGCATAGAAATGTCTTGAAGATCTAAATGATGGTCTAATTGGGTATAAAATGTCACTTAGTTAACAAACGTTGGACTATAGAAGCATTTGTGACAAAGGTGTTAACAAATGTTCGACTTATGGAAGCATTTGTGACAAATGCTTCATCCTCTTTGGCATTGCTATGATATGTGGTTCCAATTTTGAAATGTCTTGGTACAATTTGAACAAATAATGGAATGGTATGACTTCATTGTACCTAAATGTCTTGGACTGTGTTCCCCTCTTACTTTATTTGTTTATGGGGAATTCTTTGTAGTCCAAACAATTATCCTCTCCCACAATTGATTTTTTTACAAATCTTAAATTAGCTATCTATGAACTTGAAAGACTATTGTGAAGCTGAATTTCTTCCTAGAAATATGTCACATTTTTAAATTTTGTTTCTTTAGTGTTCACTAAACACAGCTATGACTATTTGTTTTAGTGGTATGTCTGTATGTGTTAAATGATTGTCAAAGCCATTCTAGCAGTTTGAAATTAACCTAAAACATAACACATGCTTGCCTTTATCATACGTATTTACTAAAAAAGATATGTTACCTAAGTGGGTATCTTTCCATTCTCATTTCTTATGTAGGTTTGATGGATTAGTTTTGGCCAAATATCTTCTAAGAGTTGGGCAATGTCCAAAAACCAAAAGTAGCAATTCGAAAGTATCTAAAACAGAAATGAATAGTTGGAGTTTAAAGTTTAGAGTCAAAATTGTATTTCATTATGCTAATATGTAATACAAATTGAGAATAATTGGAGTTTCAAGTTTTGAGTCAAATTAGACAAATACTTTGGGACGGAGGTAGTGTAATTTGTTTCATTGTTATATCTTGGAAAAGTAAAAGAAATTTTTGTTATATTCTTTTGGTTCCCATGACATTGATTCTCAATGTCATGTGATGACTCAGGGGTGTTCTAATGTCATGTTTCTAAAATTGATGATACCTATCCCAAACCCCCTTTGGTAAACCCCAACCACAACACACCCTTAGCCCATTCAATTGCATCTTCAAGTTAATCTTTGTTATATTATTTTATTGAATGAGTTAAGTAGCCAAAGAGAGTAAACAAATGAACTTGCATTGTAATTTTGTTGTCATAAGATTTTGATTTTAAAAAATAAAACTTAATAGGACATTGTGTAGGTAGGATATTTTTAATTTAGATTAATATTCTAACTAATTTTTTAATGATAAAATTTTTTTTCACACTATGTTTGGTTTAAGAAATTTTAAAGAGAAGAAAAGAAAATGAGGTGGAAAATATTTTTTTTGCTTGGTTAGAGGGAAAAAGAAAGTAAAAATGGAAGAAAAACTAAATTCTTCCCATTTTGATAAGGAGAATGAGAAAAATATTTTGTTTTCTTTTCCTTCTAAATTCTTTGAACAAAACATAGTGTTAAGCTCTAAAACTAAGACTTTGCCAACAATGTTAGTGTTTAGTGTTGGTATTTTTGTTTTTCTTTTAGGATGTGTATTAATCTCAAGCCCTTTTGATCAATTTTTTATGAGTAAAAGAATTTAATGTTCAATCATCAATGTGAAGTAAGTTTACATAAATTAGCCTTAACGATCTGCAATGAGTCCTTAGACCTTCCCACATCTGATATGGCATGAAACACAACATGATAAGTTTTTGCGCTCATTTAGTATTTCGCCCACGACAAACACTATGGGGCTTTTTTGTACCCATATCCTTTCACTCCGCTATGAGTATTTTTCTACATTTGACTTTTTTTTCATTAAAATTGAAAAATTTTGAACTAAAATTAAATAAAAGTGGTATTACATATTGATGCGAAAATAATTTTATTAGATTCATTTTCCAAAATATTTGCAAAATATTGTTTTATATAATTAGTAAATAATAAATATTTTATTTAATTATAGATCAAAGATTGAAATACCATAGTTGATTATAAAATAATCAAAACTAGACAAATATTCAAAGAAGAAGGTAGTATATAATGATACGAAGTTATAATTAACTTGAACCTACAATGAGATTTCATATAATGTTGGCAATATATATATATATGCTACAATCAGATGTATGATATTTCTCGTACATTAATAGTGAATACTCATTTTGTTTTTAGTTGTATATGCATTTTTATGTTATTTAAAAAGGTATTGTGTTACACGTACATTTACAGTACTATGTAGTTTTCAAAGTAATAATATACATATACTTTGCATTTTGAAATGTTCATGTTTTGAATATAAACTAAAATGCATTCATTTTTATTTTAGTTAAAATCAGTATTGTATTATTCATAGATGTACAATGTACATTCTATATAAATGTAATACTCCCCCGTCCCTAAATATTTGCCACATTTGTATTCTCGAGATAAAATATCAAGTTTTTTCAATTCATTTTATTTACATATTGGTATAGAAATAAAAAAATAAAATTTACATATCAAAAAACTATATGAAAGTTCTTCGAAATAAGGTGTCAAGAATATATTTTATTTTATCAAATAAGCAATGAAAACGTAGAAATAAACAAAAGTTCCCGCGACTGCTGAAAAAGCAAACACTGCAAATAATTTGGGACGGAGGGAGTATGTACTACGTTGTTTTGAAATTAACATCCCTATCATTTGTATTCCTTCCGTCCACTATAGATCTTCTCATTACGTGTTATGAGGCTTGACCGTTTTTATTTTCAATTTAATTTATTTGATTATAAAAATAAAATTAGAAAAAAAATTATAGTAAAAATTACGGAGTATATGAAATATCTTACAAAATGAAAGATGATATGACTATATTATTTTATGAAATGAGTAGTAAAAATAAGTAAACAAAATGGGTTAAATTTGACTTTATGAATAGTGTCTGAAAAGATCTACACCAGATGAGAAGAGTAAAACAAAAAAAGTACTGACGTGGATGTACAACATGTAACAATACATGGTAATTAATATGAACATATTTTAACCACGGAGTTCGCACTCAGTATAATATAATTTATTCGAAATAAAAACACCAACCCCACATGGCAACGACCAAAACAGAATTCATTTCATTCTTAGTTAAACAGAGGTCCCCGACAATGTCAAAAGTCTCATTTAACACTTGTCCCATGTAAGGTCAAGTCCTGCAACGACCAAATATTAAGGAGGACAATTAGTGACCCGTTCAATCCGGAGCAAAATGTTGTCATTAGCACCAACAAATAACAAATTACTTTTGACTTAACGCTAATAACGGGGGAGGATTCCAACGACTTGTGTGCTCCATGCCTATTTTCAAGATTAAAAATGTTGTTCTGGAAGGATGGAAACATATTAAAAGTTTTTAAATAATTTGGAGCAGAAGCGTTTGAAAATATAATATGGGCCAGTTTGAAAATAACTTTAGAGATTAGTGTTAACGTTTGGAAAAGACAATCGACGATCAACGTTTAGTATTGGCGTTTTCAAAATAATTTGCACCGTTAACATTTTATTCAAAACGCTAATACTAATCTCTAAAGCTTTTCTCAAACCATAAATAACTTATAAGTATTGGATGATGAAAGAGTGCCAAAAATAGAAAAAATGAGAATTTTTATTGTTCTTATCATGTGCGCAAAGTGCATGTGCGACCATGTGTAGTGAGCCTTTTGAGGAAACTCTTACATGGTCTTTGAAGCTACACTAATTATATGATTTTTAGCTATGTTATGCCCATTATAAAAGAATTGAATTTTTTGCAAAAAAAAATACTTGTTAATTTATCAAAAGTATGAGAGAGTCTACATTTACACATAGGCTTTAGAATCACGGAATCATAACTTGAGCCTCTTACCCAGGTATGAGACCACGTGTATAACAATTGAATCGGCACGATTTTTTTGTGAAATTTGTTTAAAATAGTATCTAAATATTGGCGGTTTACTAAAATAGTATCTTTTTGTTTGTTTTTTACATTCTTTTTTATCGACGCTATCCACGCTGCCCTTCTACCTTCAGGATCGTAAGTGGTAACAATCAATTTTAATTTAACAAGAGGTCAAACTTGGCATTTTAGCATCCTTGCGTTAATGAAAAAGTAGTTTTATAAAATACCGGTGCCACTTGAAGAATTAGACATTGTTATAATGTTATATAGGTGATTTCCTTTTTTAGTTGTTTGGAACAAAATATTGATGAACAAAATGAATGAAAAATAGTCGAAATGATTTATGAAGAAAACTCATCTTATATGTTCTCTGAAAAATGTGATTTTATTACGGAGTAATTATTATCAAAATACACTAAAGCCTCAAGTAGGAGTGTTTTCAAGAGATGCGATTAAGAGAGAAATAATGAGATGATATTTAGTTGAAAAATACAATTTAGCTAACTTTTTTGCTAGTTTAAATTCTTATGTTACTATTTTTTATAATATTTGGAGTGAAACTTATCATAACTTGTCCTACAAGATTATTACTTGTCATTAGATTGATAGTGATTAAGTAATATACAAACATGTTCTTGTTTTTCATGATTCTAATTAATCTCATACGGTAATAATATTATTATTTTGCTTGAGCGTGTTTTGAATAAATAAAATTTCTTGATGAAGTTTTTACATTTAGCTTTAACAATGCTACTAATAACACTATTGTCATTCCCAAACATACACAACATTGCCCCTCCCAGCATCATCGGTAGATTTCTATACCAAAAACTACGCAAGCCGTGTTTAGTATGGGTTACAGACTATTGGAGGGTTGGGGGTTTGACAAACATTAAGACTAGTTGAAATTAATCTGAGGGATAATGCTATAAATTTCTTTGATTAAGTCTTTATTTAAAGAATTCTAAAATTTGTCTGGTAACCTTCCAGAAGAGATAAAAGCTTCTTTGGCCCCGAAGGTAAAGAAAGGTTTTAAAGCGGTCTTTGATGACCTCTTTTTGAATAAATGTAGAAGTACTCCTACCTCTACAAGCGCAAGTGATGCAACAATAATAAGTTCATAAACCGAACATACGATGTACTAAGATGCCCATGCATCTACGATGAAGATTATTGACAAAAATGATTTCGATGTCCTCGAATTGTGGAAACAAAA